AATTTGGTATCCATCATCTTTTTTAAATTCATTGTCTTCATGATCCCACTTGTAATAGTGCAACGATGCTTTATAAATTGTTACGATATTCAAACATTTGGTAAATTTTTCAAAGGGATCCATTTGAAATGCTTTCTGATTTCCATGAATTCTTTTATTAGACAGTCAATATCCTTAATTTCGCTAGACCATTAGTTTCATAAAGTTGATAATGAAAATCGAACATTCATCGTTTTTTTTTTTTTTGAGTGCATTTACTACAATCATGAAATCTCTTCATTCTTATCGTTATTAATTTTATCTAAATATGTTTTTTAATCATGAATTAAAGAGATTAATAAAGAATGAATGTCAAATAGTGATTTCACATTCATTTGTTTCGTTTGAGACATACAAACTGACGCTAACGTGTGTTGATTCGATATCTACGTATGTCGATATTGATGTGCTGATACTGTATTTTTTTGAAAAAAATAAATATTTATCATACAATCTGACACTTGTAGTGCCTAAACAAATAAATTTGAAATGTCATGATAAATTAATTTTAATTGATATGAAACGTCAATATGATTTAGATTTAGAAATAAAAATACTTGTGTTAGTTGGAATCGATATTGATTTTAAAGTAAACATTCGACTGGTGTAAACTGCGTTTAAGTGTATTTGTTTTTCGTTCGTATTTGTAGGAATGCTCTTTTTTCCAGTTTGAGACACGCAGTAATTTCTTCACGTGTTTTAGAATATTCTAAAGAGCTATAATACTGAAAATGTAAGGTATTAAATTTGTCGCCTATCCACATTCGATAGACAAGATAAAGTTGCAAAGCTTCTCAACAGTTGGTCTGTTTTCTGGAATAGGATCGCAACATTTTTCAATAATAAACTTGCATCATCCGGGAACAGTATTCGTTTGTTTTTCATGGTTCCATTGCGGTCATTTAGGTCAATAATTCTACTTATCTCTTAAAATCACTTAAATTTATAATTTCCTGATTACCTCCTTCCAAACGAATAATTTGTTCGTAAGAAACTAACAAATTTTCTATTATTTGTTATAGTAGGTACTCCGTTATAAATGTCACATACAAGGTGTATATCATGATTTCGTTCACCAAATGGTCGTACACCTGTGGCAACCTCGTACGTATCATCCTAAATTATAAATATCTGCAGCTTTAGTGCATGGCTTTCCATTTAGTACCTCTGGACTCATATAAGGAAGTACTCCATAGATTTTTTTATATCTGCTGGCTTAGTGAGTCCAAAATCAGTAATATGAGCAGCTTCAAGCTGTATTAATATATTTCCAGGGTGAAAATCACGATACACAAATTCCTCATTGTGAATCATCTTCAATCTTTTAATGATCTCAAATAAATGGCTCAATTTTTGTTCCCAATTCAATTCTTCGTACATATACGTATTTGGAATTCATATACAGTGCCCGACAAAAGTATCCCCGCACCGATAATTTTTGATAGATCATCTGTAGGTCCTTGAAATTTTATATCGATATGCATATAGAACATCACAAACGCTGATCATTGATACTTTTTATTGATTGATAAAGATTCTATATCGGGTATTGTTTGTTCACAAACTTTCGCATCCCAAATACATGTATAATCAGTCATTTCATAACACACATCCCAATATCCAATAATCTAATTATTGACATACAGTGATCCGATTTGAACAAAAATATTACTATTCGATTCGTCTCGACTAGACGAATCGAATAGTAATATTTTTGTTCAAATCGGATCACTGTATATCGAAATATTGCATCTTAAAGTAGTAGATTCATTTTTTCTATATAACAAAAAAAATGAATCGATCAATTTAGGACGTGATATCTCGATCTTCCGTAATCTAGACGAATCAAACGGTATTATTTTGTTCGAATAGGATTACTGGAGATTAAGATACATGTATGTATCACGTTCGATTCATTTTTAGGCGATCAATTTCTAATGAAAAATTGATCAGCGAATTATGAATCGGTCACTTTAGTATGCAATATTTCGACATCCAGTGACCCAATTTGAGCGAAAATACCATGATTTGATTTGTCTAGATTAGACAAATCGAATGGTAATAATTCCGCTCAAATCGGATCACTGGATGTTGAGATATTATGTCCTAAAGTGACCGATTTATTGTATTTGGAGTATGAAAGTTTATGAACATGCAATACCCGATATAGAATCTATCAATCGATAAAAAGGTATCAATGATCAGTGTTGTGATGTACATGTACTATGCAATAAAATTTCAGGGACCTACACATGATCATCTAAAATTATCGGTGCGGGGATACTTTTGTCGGGCACTGTATTTGCGTAGATCACCATCTTTTGCATAAGTAATTACTATCGAGTATTCACTTGTAGCTGGGGTTTTAGTTATTCCATAATAACTGAATCTGATTTTAAATAAGTTAATACTGAAAAACAAAAAAGCAATATGCTTACACTTTAAAAGATGTTCGTTTATAAACTCTGATGTAATTTGCTTTGAATTGTGTAATAATTTCAACACAACGTCGGGTTCTCCCTCTCGTTTAAATTTATTTTCTCCATGATCCCATTGATCCAATGGTCCGTCCAACCGGGTTGCTTTATAAATTGATCCAAAACCTCATCCTTGTGCAAGATATTCAACATTGGTAAATCTTTCAAATTCCTTTATTAAACTGTCGATATCTTTATTTTCGCTAGAACCTTCAACATAATTCGTTTGTGATATAAAAGCATCCATATCAGTACCAACTGTCTTGACATTTGGTACATTTACTGCAATCATGAGTATTGTGATCTGAACACGTTTTGCTGTAGTAATCATCTTGACAATCGTCACATTTACTACAAACATGAGTATTCGAAGTTTTTAGATGCCATCTTCGAGTTTGTCAGTGAGTATGGCAGTGTTTTATTTAAAAACTGATGCTTTATTTATATGTATCGATTTATGCATGAAGAATGACACCATATGTAATTACTTTCAAATGAATGGTGCCAAAGGTGCATACAATGTTTAGATTATCTAAATATAATTATCTCTTGCATAATTTTCTATAATACTATTATAGCACATGTGCATACACTTAAACTTATAGTATACACTTGCTATTGTCTTATAATGACCAAAAGTTTCTTCTCTACATTGCAATCATAATATAATTTTATTCAAATGAATATATAATACCTTGGTGCCCATTTTTTCATTCATCCACTTTCAGAAAAAGAAATAAAATAGACACCAATCATGACGAAAAATATTATTTTACCTGGTTAATAGCAAGATTAAATAATAGTGGAAAATGCAACTTTATCATTTTATTTGCCTTGATATTGTTCAAGTAAAACAAATCTTTTCGACCAGTGTCAAATTCACAAAATGATACGTTTATTCATACAATCACAACCTCAACAACAAATAACGATAGTATGAAACGTCACAAAGAACGCGAATAGAGTTCGGACGATGAATGCCGAACGAAATAAACGAAAAGTATCTGTTTGATTCACATGAGACGATAGTTGCGCTACCGGATTCAGTCTTTACATGATTGAGTTTGATATGAAATATTTTTTTATGGTCAGAATCAGATATTAGAATATTCATCTAAGGAGTAATTAAGTAAGGTTATTAAAAATATTTTATATGGATATGTTTCTTAATTTTAGGATTACTTGGGTGTTGCCATTATTTTCGTCATGAAACTCCTGAATCCTAATTTCTTGACTGAGTAAGATTAAAAAGCTATTTTTATTTTATAACGTAAGACGCAGTTATTTTCTATACTAATAATAATAAAATAAAAGAAAGACAGTAGCCGTCATAAGTATCCGTAATTTTTCATAGATCATATGTAATGTACCAAAATTTTTCACGTATAAAGAACTAAATAAATATTGATAATTTATGCCTTTTATGGGCCATATCAGATGTTATACGTTTGTCAAAACTCGTGTTACAAATCAATCGGACATAATGTTCATGATAACTACAATATTTAGCAATCCAATTCTTGGCACCCAGTGATTCTATCTGAACAAAAATGTTATCATTTGATTCGTCTCAACCAGACGAATCGAATGATAGTATTTTTGTTCAGATCGAATAATTAAATGTTGAGATATTGCATCTTCCAATTTTTTTTGAAGTTATCCGGTCACTTTAGGATGCAGTATCTCAATATCTAGTGATCCGATTCGAGCCAAAATACATGTAATACCAATCAATTCATCTCAATTAGGCAAATCAAATGATATATTTTAGCTCAAATCGGATTATTAAATACAAAGATATCGCATCCTAAAGTGGCCAATTCATTTTTTATCTTTTTTATCTAATAAAAAATTGATTAACAAAAACAAATCACTTTAGGATGCAATATCTCACTATCCAGTGATCCAATTTAAATGAAACTATTATCATTCGATTCATCTAGTCTAGGCAAATCGAATAATAATAGTTTCATTTAAATTGGATCACTGGGTATCGAGATATTGTATCCAAAGTGATTTATTTCATTGTATTATGGCATTAAAGTCTAACGAACATATAATTCCCTAATATAAAAGTTTACCGGCCTATAAAACGCATAATTATCAATATTTATATAGTTCTTTATACGTGACAAATTTTGGTACATTACATATGATCTATGAAAACTTACGGATACTTATGACGGCTACTGTAATTTGAAAATCTGTTTCAATTCTTAAACAAAAAAGTTTCTCGAATAATGGACTTTTCATATTTTTTCACACTAAAACAATGCATACTTGTACATGTACTCTCATTAGAATGACATCATATTTAGATACATTGTATATACGTAACTTATACATGTAGATGTACATGAACATGTACATGTACATGTAATTGACAAATCATGTGATTAAATTCTTATGTGTAACAAATGTAGTGTTATGCACACCGCTTATCGTTATTGTGAACTTAAAATTAGAACATGTACATTCATATCGTTATAAGAAATTTACATATTGAAAGGGTTGTTGTTGTCCATAAAAAAGATAAAACGTTGATAAGTCAATGTCAGTTGGTGTTACTTCAGTTTGTGGTGTGACTTCAATTTGTGGTGTGACTTCAGAAATTGCGGAAGAGATTTCTTGATCTTGATACTGTGGTTCTTGTTGATCATGTGAATCAAATTTAACAACTTTAAAAATTGCTTTGCTTCTTTTTGGTTTATATTTCCAGTCTGGATGTAATGATTTGTGTAATTTAGTCACTTCACCATATAATTCTCTATAATAAGATTGTTCGGATAAAGTGAAAGAATTCCACAGTGCACCAAGAATTTGCGAAAGTAGTGGCTGGTCCAAATTCTTGAAAAATAGTTTATCAACAGCAGACATTTCCGTATTTTTAATCAAAATATTTGTAATTTGACGAAAGAACATAAAGCAGTTAGGTGGTCTTTTAATCTTCCCGTCAGGTTTAAGAAAAGGGCTTTGATTTTCAGAATTGAAGATTTGGCCTAATGTGTAGGGAACTTTAAACAACGGTAAAATTTGTTTTATTCTATTAATTTCGTCTCTGTACACAGCTACAGAATTGGAATTGTTGTTGCGCACAGAGTTGCTTGTAGCTCTCCTGGATCTAGGTGGGTTGGTTACTCGCATTTTAGTGTCTCTGATGTGTGTGTATGCTAGTCAAACTAATTTTTTTCACTAGTATCTGATTTCTCGAGGTTATTAACCTTGTTTAAATAGTTGATCTGGCTTCTGCTCTGAAATAAAACAAGAAATCCTGGAGTATTTATAGTTTTCAAAAAAAAATTTTTGTAATACATGTACATTTACTTTCACATATAATCAATGATCAATGCAATTAACAATAAATTTAAACGATTGTTGCACAGCTTTTTTCCATTCGGAGTTTGATGTGATCCATGAACAAATAAAATTGCAGATACATGTACATATCGGTATTCGGAGTATGAAACTTCGTATGCTTAAATATCATTGTTAAGCTTAACAGTGCTCATTTAGTCAAATTTGTGAATTCATTTGTCTCATATAAAAAACGTATTGTTCTCAATATAAAGATATTTCTTATGCTTTTTTTATTTTTATATGAATTCACACAATGATGATGACAGTGGCTTAGTTTACAAGAACCTATATTTAATTTTAATTTGAAATTGCTTCAAGAATTAAAATTGATTTCCTGTTGTTGCTGTTCTTTTCGTTGAAGTAATCTTTTTATGTATAACTTTAAAAATATGTTTATTCGTCTTGGTACGTTTTCATTCCCGGTGTAATGAATTTTTAATTGGTCACATAAGGTAATCTTTCGGAAGTAGTGGTTGAATTCCAAAGTGCACCACCATAAATCTTCAAAAATTGTGGTTGCCCAAATTTTCGAAAGATAATTAGCAGACGTTTTCTTTTCACGTATCTGCATTGTTTGTTGCTACTTGATGAAAGAACAAAAAAGGCTTTTGATTCTTTGCTTCTCTTCAATAATTTCCGATTGATTCTAATCAGAATTCATGTTTGTTCGATGAGTCTACTACATGTATCATGCAACGATTTTAATTTTCATTTTCATGCTTTTTTGCAAGTGTTTATCGTTATGAACTCCGCATAGTTAATTTAGTTTTGGAGACTTTATTCCGACACGCATACACTAGCATTTATTGTTTATTATTCATTGTTTAGAACGCTAGCTCTGCCTATCGCTATCATTTATTATAGATTTTTAACAAAGGAAGATGGATGGTAAATTTAAAATACGTACTAACGGAGCAGTTTTTTAGTTTCCGGCAAATCCTTCTAAATTTTCTTATCTGTACATGTGCTAATTAAAAGAACTAATGCTAATGTGTAGAATTTCTTTTCTTAAACTACTGTGCGTAACTCTGCATAAGAACAAAATTCACATGTAAATGTACGTACTGTGCAATATCGATATACGTATGTAACGATTACCATTACAATATCGATATGTTAGCGTTAGACCGCTAACTTCACTAAAAATAAATCAACCATTTAAGATGAATTTTGAACAAATATCGTTAGGACTCCACTTTAGGAAAGCAAAATTCTTGCAGAAATACAAAACTTATATTTTTACCGGAGTTTAAATTCAATTTCGTAGCGGAAAAACTCAGTTCAAGTCAAATTCAGTCAATTATATTGTAGCAATGGTGCACGTTTATATTTTATAAACTTATTTACTAAGAAATAAATACAAAATTCAATCCGTAAATGTGCTCAGAAATGGTCTATTCTATCATATTCACGGATTAAATTTTGTATTTACTTCTTAGTAAGAAAGTTTATCCATTTTATAAAATGCAAACGTTTGATGACTTTAGTTGTTATGCACCATACACATTACAAGAGAACTAAATGTAATTTATTCAATTCTTCCAAGTACTCAAATTTAAGAATCTATCAGCAATATAAGTTCTTGAAAATGAATTCGAATCACGTTAGTTTAGTAATCACTGTTCCAAATATCACTGAAATGAAACAAATAAATGTCTTCCAGACCAATCCAAATTCAAATGTTAATTCGTCAGTAAAAGGTCCAATTGAGCAAAGATTTCTTTGGTTTATTTATTCATTTTGACGGTGGAAAATCAAGCTTATTAAGCTTGCACATCTACAGCAATCGTGCTAAATGTTTATAATCATGCAATCAAGAATTTTCTGCCGCTTTTGATCGATCGGTTGTTGAGATTCTCAGAAAATTAGCTACTTTAAATATAGTCATTTATAATTTTAATATCCTAACGCTGACATTATAGTCAATAAAATGTTGCTTTTTTATTATCGGAATTTATTTTCATTACGAAAAAAGTGTAATTGGATATGCATAGAAATAATCTCATTGTTAGTAAATCTGAACCCTTATTCTGTTAACATCTTCTTTTGCTCTAAAATATTTAAGTTTTCACAGTTATCGATAAGTGTAACTATACATTATGCATTTGTTGATCCCTTAACAAATACACTAGAAGAGACATGTCCTATGACCGGTATGTACGCTGCCAAATCTAGCGTGGCATTTGCGTTTGATCGTGATTATTTTACTAGATTTGGGGGTTGGCTAAAGCATGGTGAACACGTGTAATCCATCCAATAGGGGTGCATAAATTTTTGTCAATCACCAATAAGAATGCACAAATTTTGATCAACCCGGCAAAACAAATCCGACACAAGATATGAAAAATGCGAGAAATGTGAATATTACAAGAAAACCGATGCTTAAACCTGTCTTGGAATACTAATTAAAAATGTTAGAAAGGCGATTTTATATATAACCTTGTCCTCTAATCCTAACCTTTACCCTTACTCCAACCTTATCGGTTGCACGCGGAAAATTTAAGGAACTGAGTCACATGTCCACCAGGCTTTAGCCAACTCCTAGATTTGGCAACTACGTACGTATATCGATATACCGATACGTACATGTACGTAGAATTGTGATAATCAGTGGGAAAATTCCCAATGATTCTCTATCGCTATATAACGATAACGATTCAGGTATAATAATAAGAATTTTTTAATCTCTTAAAAAATGAATACATATCAACAAGGACAAATTTTGAACAAATAATTTTTATAACATAGCGATAGTTTGATTAAAAGTAACTACGTACTCTGTGAATAACAATAAAAAGCAATTAACAACAATAACGATAACGATAAATGTAACACATGACAGATTTTGTCTCTGTATGAAAGAATGCTCTAAATGTCAATATGACCGGGATTTCTTGTGAGAACCACCAAGATAGCAAGAACCACCATACAACCAACAATTATTAAAATCCAAATTTATGGACAGTTTCATATAATGCAGCAGTTTCATATAATGCAGGATCATTGATTTACAATTGCTTTGCTCCAGAAACCAATTACATACGTACGTACGTACCATAAATTCTTGAAATAACGGGCAGGGCGTTACGTACGTATTCGAAAATCGCACCTTCTAAAAATAGCTTACGTACGTAGCTGTTTCAAAATAACGTCGCGCATCTTACAATAATTTTTTTTGATTGAGTAAACACATTAACGTGAATCCACCAAGCTGACCACCGCATTTTCGGGGCACGTGATAATTTTATTTTTTTAGAGTTTCATAAGTTAGATTTTGAGATACAAGCTTTTTTGCCATTTTGTATTACTATAAAAAATAATTGATTTGATTTACTTTACGTTTAGCTTTTAATAAAATATAGTTCATTAATATAAATAATCTCTTTATTTTTGATTATATTACAATTATAATATGGGTCAAAAATATATCTTTATTATTATAATAATAATTTCGAAGTAGTTTCTTGTTTTTCTTGAATCTCATTAATAATAATTTGATCATAACGCAGGAAAAATCAAAGAATTGTTAACAAAAAATAAAATCACGACTATTAACTGGCCAGCGAATTCACCAGACCTAAACGTAAGGTTGAAAATAGAACAGTGTTGTATATATATTTAATAATTTCATGTAATATCGAATCGGGAGGAACCAGAAAATAACTGCTAGCTGGAGCCTCTGAAAGGAAACAGTTCTTGAAAAAAGTATAACGAAAAAATCTTATTGCTTGGTGAATTCTTGCGCAATTGGCAAGTATTGATAAGATAACAGTCTTTTACATAACCACGCATTGAGTTGTGGCTTGACCGTCGCGCGGGTCATCGGTAGGTCCCTTGATAGCACCATTTGGTACGATAATAGCAAAGAGATTGGATGTTGATTGAGTATTTGTAGTTGGTTGCATTTTAGTTTGAAAGATTTATGCTTTCAGACTAAAACATAGGGACTTAAATAACGATTTTTGTATGAAACGACTCAAATAATACAAGCAGTAAATAACAAATTTAAAGCATCAAATATTGTATATAAATTTTCTGATAATACGTACATATTTATCTTCACCGATAAGAATATAATTCAGATAAAACCTTATCAATAAAAATATTATTACTATTGTTTTCAAAATTATTATTAAGAGTTTGGTGGTTTGAATTATCAAATTATCATTATTAATAATGGTATCAGATGTTTAGTTGTTTGTATTATTCACAGTATCAAGTGACAAGGTTGGTTCGGGGCAAGGGAAAAAACTTTGACTATGCAAAAGATTTGGAAAATGAATTAGTGAATAGATTGAAAAAAAGGAATTTAAGGAATCATTAGAAAATAACAATTTGGACAACAAATTTATTGAACACTTGCTTCGAAGCGTTTTTGAAGAGGTAGAAAAAAACGCAAAATTTGAAGAAATAGAAAATACTTCCAACACAATATATATAGTAAGTGAATTTGCATTCAGTTTTTTTTGAATTATTAATAAAGGTATTTTTTTGCAAAAAGGCTGGAAAAGGCGAATATAAAATCGCGTTTTACATCCTTGGAAGAATGGAGAAACCAAAAAAAAAAAACTTTACTGATTATGGTCAAAATATTATATATCGCCAATATTAATTCTTCCGGCGTCGCCACCTTGAAGACCACAAAAAAGAGATAGCCAAAAGAATCCAAACTTTCGTTATTAATAACCTGCATTGATTCGTGACGAAGAATATGAAATATTTCTTCAGAAGTTAATGGCGAAGCTTGATGTATTTCACCTAAACTTGTACTTTGCAGCTTGTTCATCTTGCCATCGACTTCTGTAGGTATATAGTTAGTACTATTCATGATAACGATAAAAAAGAGAATATTTAGTGTCATATATTTAGGGCGCGGTATCTCTATCAAAGTGATATTAGGTAATATATGAATATATGTCAGTTCCCAAATGGTAATTTATTAATTTTATTAATATGACGAATACATGGTTCCATCGGGTACACGTCATCCTATGGGATAAGCTAGTTAAATTACGTGCCTTCGGCCACGTGATTTTACTATAATCATGATTTACTATAACGAATTCACGGATATTGTAAAATATTTGTCTTATAAACATAGAAAGCTTTGATGCAACTTTGATTCTCGTATCGTATATGGCGATAGTTTGTTATATGGTAGTTTTATTTTTATTTTAATCTGGTTCGATGTTATTGTGAAAGAATAATACAGTATTATCTAGACGCGTAAATCTTTCAAATAATGTGCACACAATCAAATGATATCCTATTATACAAGAATTCTTTACGTAATTATATTTATTTGATATTATGATTGGAATTAAAAGAGTCGGAAAGACAATTTTTAACAATAATCTATGGTGCCGGAAGTCATAACTCGACAATCACGTGATTATGTTTCAATTTTCTGGTGGCGATCTAATGTCACGTTTTTTGTAATCGTCCAATAAAAAAAAATAACGATATTTTAATCACGCGAAATGATGCCACCCAATTTTATTACATGATTTACATTATGATAATTCGGGCTGGCACTATGAGAATAAAGCATTAGCATAATGCCGACCTGAATTATAATAAATACTAACCAATAAAATCACGTTCATGTGATAAATATTCACGCGATTTGTTTCAAAGTGCAAGTCCAAATAATTATTATTGTTACCACTATTTATTTGTCATTTTCATGTAAGTATTCAACATTGATACTAATCTATTAGAGATTTACATAAGAAATATCAAAAAAAAATCAGCACCACGCCAAGGAGAGAAAAAACTACTACTATTAATGCTAGCAGCAATAATCAATTTGAATATTAATCAATCCGATCTTCTCTCTTTTGTCGCAAGTGATTAAGGACTTCCACCCATTTGTTTTTTGATAATCTAGCTAACGATGAATGCGAAAACATTGCTTTCTCACTTTCCTTATTATATGCATTAACCCCACTCCGCCCAAAATGAATACAATTGCTTAAATTCGATATTGGAACATAATTAGCGAGCGCAACAAGTCTCGTGGAGAACGTTATTAATCTTCGTAAAAGTCCATCTTTGTCTTTTGATTTTGCGAGTGCTCGAGATATATGCCACGTGACTTTCGAATTTACACGTATCCAGTTGCAGACAGTTTTATTGCTAATCTGATTATTAATTCTTAAGTGATCAAATAATTTCGGATAGAATACGCCGATTTTCATAAAACATTCAATTTTTTCGAGTTTATCGATGTTGTTGTTGTTGTTGAGGAATTTAAATAAATTGTTGAATTCTTTTATTGGGGAAGAAGGATCTTTGAAATCAGTCGGAGGATTATACTTGTCCAGGTTGAGAGGAGTTGAATTCGCATTCATTTTTTTCATTTCTTTATCGAGAATATAAATTATTTCTTCTTTGATACCTTGTTTGATGACTTGTTTTGTGGGTTGATTTTTGTTATTGGTGTCATCGTCAGATGAACTGTCGGACAATTTCTTTTGACGAATCGAGGTAGGCGTTTGCTATAAATAAATAAAGTAAAATTCTTTTAGAACCACATATAGATCTTTTTTCGTTGTCAAATTTCTGAGAATACGAACAATTATCTTTTTACGATTCTGTTGACGATACTCCGAGGAATTTTCGGAGGTATTCATAGTCTATAACATATTATGCAACAAATTTTAGGTATTAGAAATTAATATAAAACGTGATATATAAAAAAATCAGACTATGTACTTGATCAATATCTATATCCATGTCAACGGTTTCTGAATTTTTTAATCTCTCCATATTTTGAATTCTGTCTTTGAAATTTTGAACCTCGTTTTGAATTAGCTTAATTTCATTGTTTTTATCATTGATGCATTTTTGAGCATTTTGAAGCTCGTTTTGGGCATTCACACATGAAGTTTTCCAATAACCCAAAATCAAATCTATTCCATTACTAAAAAAAAAGAACATTAAGTAATATTTTCAATAAAATTGATTAATACGTGTTATGTCAAAACTTACATATCTTTTTCGTCTACCCATGAATTGTCTGTATCAGGATAATGTTTCCATTTTATATTATACTTTGTGTTGCCCTATATTACAAAAAAAAATCATTACAAAAAGATACTATCAAATTAATAAGCAAAATCTATACATGTACGTACATTCTCAAATTTATGATCCAGAATTTTCTCCACGTCAAATTCTTCTTCCTCCACGACAAATACTTGTTTTGTAGATTTCCATCTCATGTTATCTTTTAAAATTACAATGAAATGTATTTATGTTTTTTAAAAGTAAACACAATATGAAGAGCGTAAGGTAATAATAAGTAACATCAATTAAATATTAGTATATCAGTTGACTTGCTAGCGCTGGCTGTTGACTTTGACTTACTAGGAGGCTTATTGCTTGCCGTTGACGTTGGCTTGCTAGTGCTGGCTGTAGGAGGTTTAATCCTTGCCGTTGACGTTGGCTTGCTAGTGCTGGCTGTAGGAGGTTGTAAAGGAACGTCACTCATGTTAGAGAAAAAGTAAGGCGAATTGTAAGCAAGAATAGTAGCCGAGAATTGTAAGCAAAATTTTGTTAGAACAAATATGACTCAAAAGATTATTCAGTAACTAATATGACTCAAAAGTAGTGATATCAATCAATTGACCAGCAGTAATCGATTACTAATTAGTTGATACGTAGCGTGTTAAAGTGATATTAGGGTAATATATGTCAGCCGCATGGGAACGGTTTTGGTGCGCAGCCTGGGCCACCATTTAGTGGTATTGTTAAGCAAGCAAAGTCTTTTGTTGCTGCGTTTGGGTTTTTTGGGTGTGCTCTGTCATAAAAGTTAATGTGTTTTGTCATTTTTTTGAAATCCTTTCAAAAACATTACTGAACAATAAATATTTACCGTGGATGCGGGTACAATAATGACGAGTGAGCATCGACAGTATTAGCATATGCAGTAAAGATAACGGCAAAAAGTGCAAGCGATGATAGAAATTTCATGTTTATTTTATTTATAATTGTATTGCCCAAACCAGGGGGAGAAATAATAATAATGAGTGTTATGTGTAAAATAATAAAACGGATTTGAAAACAAGAGTGTTCTTTTATACTCCAAAACATATCGATAAATGGGTATTGTTAATATTTATTTTATTTAGGATGTTGAATACATTACATAACGATAATAACAAAAGATTTATTTGATAATAAATTATCGAAACTTCACAATCGAGAGGCTTTCTTCAATTTGACAATACAATTTGCATGACAATTCAACAATACAATTTTTTAAAACACGATCTATTTCGTTTAATCTTTAGTTTTACACACTAATTCAGCAATGCTCTTACAACCTTGATTAAAAATGCTCTTATAACGCCATTTTTATTCGGTCGAAGAAAAAATTAACAATTTTCTTACCTTCATTCCTTCTCATATAAATTGGTTTGCTATCAAAAACAGGACATTTAAAATTAACTTTACGCTAATTCTTAATGACTTCTGAAGACAAAAAAAATCCATTCTATTTTATATAGATTAAAAAAATTAATAAAATTCTATATTAATTGATTTAATTCTAGATATAAAATATATAAAAATGCAACTAAAGAAAAAAAAATTAATCGAAAAATTAAAATAATAAAATAATAAAAATAAAAAAATACAAATAATAAAAAATATGACGACAAACAAATTTCTTCACATTTTTAAAGCAATTTTCGTTAAGTGTCAACGACAATTGTAAGATTTGAATGATTAATGAATTCAATTTTATTAGCGTGCAGGACCAAGATTGCTCCCAATTCTTGTAAAAGTGACATATAAAGTTTAGAAGGTCTTTGCATGGTCAATTTAAGATAAATTTCAATCACGTTCTGTTTTAATGGATGAATTTCATAATGATTTCCAAAAGGTTCTTCCCATAAAATAGAAATTGCACACTCACACCATATTTTATTAACTAGAATACAAGAGTGGAGAGTTTGAAGAAAAGGGCGTAAATAAGCAAAAATTTCAATAAGAATTTCTTTTGAAAGATTCGAGATAGACATTATTAAACTTGTATGAACAACATGCGAGACATTTATAAACTTAAACATAATACGATTACAAGCTAATATTGATGAATAATATAAATTATAGTTTATTGGACTGCTGGTTTATTGTGTTCTACAAGTATTGTTAAAGAAAACTGTTAGGTTCAAAATTATAGTACACGTATCAGTCCCAACAATTTTAAAAATTACTAGAAAAGTCGTTTTATTAATAGTTTTGTGAAATAAAAATTATCTCCAAATCAGCAATCTTCCTGGGACTGTTTCAGTCTGGGATGGTCCCAAACCCATCCTAAATTCTACATTTTAAAAGATTCTGATTTCTCAAAAAGTTTATTACTTATATTAAAACATTATCATAAGCATCTAAAACTAGTAATGTTCGTACAATACGTACGTTCTACAAAAAATTTTCTAGTCATAAAATTTATTTGCTAATACGCATGTATTACGTATCTTTATTACGTAATTGTGCATATTTAATTTAATTTCTGATATGGATGCAAGAATTAACGTACAGTAGTACGTAATTCGTATATTATGTATTGTTTGTTATTTACATTAATTTATATTATAATACAAGTTAATAGTTAATAATACATGTAGTTTAAACAACTAAAAGAAATTTCTTTGTTCGCAAAAGTTCAGAATAATTTTCATCATTATCCAGCCAGGAGTTAAAGTGCAAACAGCAAACCTATGCCTCATAGTGATAGAGATAATCTATAGGTCTGGTTTGGAATATGCATAATCTTCATAATCATAGTGGCTATACTTACTCCTTCTATCTATGGCATAGTGATTACATCTAATTTGATCAGCAAATATCCTGTAAGAGGCTCGGAAAAAATGGGAAACTTGCGATGGTGACTATTACCTTCACGTATTCATTATTGGAGCCCTGGTTAGCTTTTGCTCGGGAGATTTAGCGCCAATATTCCCGATAGTTTGGGAAATAATTGGCTTTCTGGTGCAAGGGATTGTCAAGTCAATGATCCTGCATTATATGAAACGGCCCATAAATCTTGGATTTTAATTATTGTTGGTTGTGTGGTTGGTCTTGCTATCTTGGTGGGATTCTGTTGTAGTTCTCGCAAGAATCGAATAACTTTTGACAATTAATTACAAAATGTTTTTCTAAATCCCAGTCATATTGACATTCAGAGTAATTTATAAACTTAAACATAATACAAGCTAACATTAATGAATAATATAAATTATAGTTTATATTGGACCGCTGGTTTATTATGTTCTATAAGTATTGTTAAAGAAATAAAAGAGAAAAACTGTGAGGACGAAAGATCTTCAAAATTATAATTCACTAATTCTAGAAAAGTCGTTTTTATTAATAATTTTGTGAAATAAAAATTATCTCCAAAATCAGGTCCCAAATCCATCCTAAATTCTACATTTTAAAAAGATTCTGATTTCTCAAGAAAAAAATTATCTCTAAAACTAGTAATTTTTGGACCAATTGGGATAGGTTAACCATTAATATAAATAAAAAAACACAATTTTATTTTATTCACTAAATATTACGGTATTTCATATCATGCGATCTATAGCAATAGTCATCAACGGTAAATCCGTCTTTTGTTAAAGTGTGTACGTATTGTTTCTTCTAGGAAACGTTAATTCGTATGTTCTGTATTGTTATTCATAATTAATTTATATTATAATACAAGTTAATAGTTAAGGTATTTTTGGTATTAGGAAAGTGCCAATTAATGATGTTAATATTCTTTCAATTTATTCAATATTACGAAAATGGATGAAGTAAAATACATAAAAGTGAACAAGAATAAAAAACTCAATTTGCTAATATTCATTGGCCTAAGACAAAATATCACAGGCATTTTTAAACAGAGGATCGCTCCTCAAGCCACCAATCCGCCGCTGTTCTGTGCGTTATTGTAACCCACCGATCCGCCGCCGTTCTGTACGTTATTGTTACCTGCCGTTTCGTAGTATGGATGTGGACACCACCAATAATAATAATACCGCAAGCAACTACTTTGGTCATCAGAAAGGCACTTCTTAAATGGTGATGGACAATATGGTATAGCATCAGCGACGGTAAAGATCAAGATCGCGAGAAGAAGCAAGGTAATAAAAAATGTCTTCATCATGATGAGAATTTTTCTGATTATAATAAGAGTTCAGTGATATGCTTGTTAATGAAAAGCTTGTTCCATTTATATATTGAAAGTGCAAAGCTTCTAAAATTAACCATCAGTATAATCATTGTGGTATAACTAAGAATTTTGTGGTTGTTCACTATGGAAGATAAAAATATCTTGCTTGAGATGTTTTCTAAAATTAACCATAGTCGTATCGGTATCAGTATATACATGTATAAATCATTCAATTTGTATTACATTGCAGATCAGGGGACATATCCACTGACCGATATGCAGTTTATCTTCCATATGTTCTTTATTTACTTGATTACAATGGACAAGTTTACCGTGTGTTTACTAACGAGCATTTTTGTCTTTTCTTATTTTCTTGTGCCGGATTTGTTTTGCCGGGTTGATTAAAAATTTGCTACATTCCTATTGGTTACGCATAATTTTGCGCATTCTTACTGGTTTGATCTGACCAACATCACGTGCACCGCTCTTTTTTTGCCATGGCTAGGGTACTAATATATATGAATCTCACGTAATCGTACCCCATCTAGTTAGCCACGGCAAAAAGTGCCTTTCACGTGATTCCGATCCCGTTGTCGACCGTCCGATACCCCTTAAAATCATACATATTATTAAATAGAGCTTCGGTTAGGTTTAAGGTTAGTTGTATAAACGTGAATATAGTGCACAGTAAAATTTCGCAGCATTTTTTGTTAAGATACAGGCCATTTTTCCAAAAGTAAGCGTTTGTTTTTAATTTCTTGCGTTACACATTGATCTTGCAATTTGATTGGTGCATGATTTTAAGAGACATCGGATCAGAATTACGTGAAAGGCACTTTTTTTGCCGTGGCTAGGGTATTGATGGTACTCATCTTTCCAATTAACTACATCAACAACCATCGATGATGATACGTAAACATCAATAATGGATACATACATAGTTCTTTAAATTAGAGGAATGAATAGAATTTATATAAAAACATGTCGATATACAGTATTATCTAGGATGAATTCACCCTTTTTTGATGTCTTGAAAGAATATTAAAATTGGTTATTTATAGAATAGAAATAATTAAAGTTTATCATAAGAATTTCAGATAAAGGCAATTTGTTCTCCTTGTCTCTGGTAATTACAGTCGACTCTCGATATAACGACCATGCAGATTCTATTGAATTTATATTGTTTACAATAGGATCTGCATGGTCGTTATATCGAGAGTCGACTGTATTTATTTTATCAGAGGGAATGTTATTCTTCGAGCTTCCATTTAATAACATTCTAAATTTATATAATATTAAAATATTTTTGTAGATCTTATTACGTAATACGTAAATACTAACGAAATGAAATAGAAATACGTAAATGAAATAGAACAAAAAAATAATAATTAAATTTTTCTTATAAACCAAAAAGAGTTGAAGGATTTTCTTAGTGATACAGATGAACATCTCATATAAAAAGAAAATCAACATGCCACACAATTGTTATCGTATCAAACCCACTTCCAAAGTCGGCAAATATGGTAAATTATTAATGCGTACATATTTATCGAGTTAGCTGCATCAATCATTTTCTTTTGCGTTGTCTTTTTTCATCCTCTATTTTTTTCATCTTCAATTCATCAATTCTTTTTTTGATCTTTTTGATTTCTTTGATTGTTAATTCGTATTCATCTTGAATCATTTTAATGAAATCACATAACAGTTTAAATCATCTGGACTTATTACTCTAATTTTCTATAGCGATAATATAAATGGTATTGGATTTTCAAATTATACTTTGTTATTGATATCACAACTTATTCTTACTTGATAATCTAGCCAACATTGTATATAATACGCTCTTGTTACTGAACGAACTGGGTCGTTGGGGAAATAAATGTGTTTCTTAAGAGTGGATATTTCATTTAAATCTTCTAAAGCTACTGTGGAGAGGTCTATGTTTTCTTGATTCATAATAATTAACAGCAGAACAGAATTTTTGATAGTGTTGTTTGATTTACTAGAAAACTCACTTTTATTTGAAACTTGACAATCGGTTTATTTTTAATGTATTATTTATTCTGCGGACGTCGAATTCCGTCTTTATTATCTTTTAGCAATACGTATTATTGCAATTGTACAAAACATGTTTTCTTGGCACTGGTAATGAAGTTTAGAACTTTTCGTTATCAATTGGTGTCATTTTTTATCTCTTGATTTACAAAATAATACGTATAATTCAAAAATAATATGATTGTTCGCAGAACCACCGTTTTCCGGTATTATTAAATAAAATAATACAAATTGCGATACGATAGGACTTTTAATACAATAAAGCTTGAGAGGGTATGATAGAATAATTAATCATATTTGTAATCAATATTGTATTTGAAAATAAAATCGATAAAGTTATCAGAATTTGAGTGACAATCCAACACAATACAATGTGAATGACAATTCAATTTGAGCTTTCAAACAAACAACGGTATTTCGAAACACATATATTTCGTCTATTCCTCAGTTTTACACACTAAATTCAGCAATGTCCCAACAAGATTCGATAACGGCTCGTGTTGTGCTAATTACTGTTTTAGAGACTGAGGCAAAAGAGTTATCTAAAAGTTTGTTTTTTCTTTTAATTTAACAGATTTTGTATTAAAATCAATTTGTAACGAGATACACTTGATCAATTTTGAAACAAGAAATACTTGAAAAGAAATATGCCACTGCTATCAATATTATTCCTGGGATTACCACGTTTTATTGTAAGTTGTTAATATTAGCACGAATTTAATTATTACAATAATTTTGCATAATCAATTTTTTTATAGGGTGGAAAAACGAAATTGTTGAGTACTTAGAGCAAATGCTAGTCATTAAAACTGAAGATTATCGTGTTAAAGAACTTGTGGAATATGTTAAAAAAAATCAGACATACCAAGTCCCAGGAATCATCTCAATTAAAGTAAGCTCATTCTTTGCTTACTACCTTGATTGAAAATGCTCTTATAACGCCATTTTGGTAAACAGATTGATGAAGGAAACCCAGCTTATCTGACTTGGATTGAACGAGCTGTTCTTGAGCCTCATGAGTTGTTTGGGACTTTTATTGAGTTATAAAAGGTGTAAATAATAGTCTATAGTATTACCCTTACTTCCACGCTGACAACTAAATTATAAAAAATATTAATATATGCTTGCGTCATAATTGTCGAGAATAAAATAAGAACGCTCATATGAAACTAATCATATGACCACGATGTGTTTCTTGCGTTTTATCTATAGAAAAATTTGATCAACCGACCGTTAATAAAGAAAGAATTATAATTCTTTTTTTATAAATCCTAATCTATCATCTAATCTATTATCTACAAAATCTAATAAATCTATAATGAGGTTATATCTATTTGTTAAAGTGGTTGTTACTGTTGCTATACAATACCCGATATAGAAGCTCTACAATCTATAATGTAACAATGCACAAGTTCAAAAGGTTCCATTGTGAAGTCAAAAATAGCCATGACTATGACACGATATTATCTGATACGCATCTTGGTCACACTTCTGATAAACTTTTCTTAGCGGTAGACATAATTTTTATTATCGTTATTGACTTTCACAGTATAATAATAAATGCATCAATCAAATTATTATTCCCATTGAAATGATTTATTTAACGTTAATGTCTAATTATTATTCCCATTGAAATGATTTATTTAACGTTAATGTCTAATTTAATGTTAAGTCAGTCAGTCATAACTTTCTACATCGATAATATATAACATCAATAAATATATTTATCGTTATAGTTTAATTGATTGGGGACAGGAGAAATGTAATATTTTTGGTAGAAAGTTATGACTGATACATGTATTATAATGTTAATTCTTGGGTGAAAAAAAAGCCAAATTTATATTGGATAAAAACGCAAGGTCACTTGTTTAAAATGTATTGTCAGTATCCTCTTTTTTTGATCGATGATAAATTCTAAAACATCGATAGCACCCACATGCAATCATCATAAAAAGAATTAACCCGATAAGAATAAATGTCAAAATACAAAAATTTCCACATCTACGGTTGTATCCTGAGCCATTATAATAGTACCAAAACACCCAATTGTTACTTGATCTGGAACTAACGAAACCTTTAGCACTACTACTTGAACTACCTTTGGGGTTTACCGTCGATGCTAATGCGAACTCTCTTATGCATAAAGACCAGAATATTATCGTCATGTTTTTTATTGATACCTTTTTTACTGTTTTAGCAATAACATCGTATCAATATGGATGAGATTCTGTCAAAATCAATCTAAACCTGGAACTACGTATTTAATAAAAAAAATTAGCACTAATCTCGACAAACAACTGTACTCTCCTTTTCTAATCAAATAGTTTAGATCTTTCTGTCCAGAGTTGACATACAATAGTAGTGAGCAGTCAAAGGAAACATTAATTCGAATGTTATGTATTGTTATTCACAATTAATTTATACATATATTATCATATATTATCAACTATAACTTGTATTATTAACTTGTATTATATTTATTTATATCGATATGTACGAAGTTACCAACCCTTTTATCTGATTAATTATTGCCTTTTTAATAAATTATAACGATAACGATAACAAAAGATTTTGACACAAAGATACGTTAAAAAACCCCGTAGTATAACGAGCTTATGTCATTTTTTAACAAATAACTATAATCGGCGTTAAGAAACCCGTAGTATAACGAGTTTATTAAAGGCGTTTAATAGTGTTAAACTATACCATGTGATGTTAAATACTGAAATGCGTTGAGCAGCGAACCATTTATCAACAAACGGTGTTAAAAAATGGCATAAACTCGTTATACTACGCGTTTTTAAACTATAATTGGTGTTAGAAAACGCGTAGTATAACGAGTTTATGCCATTTTTTAACAAATGATATTTACTTAAAAAAACGGGATATTTTTTGTAATTCAAGAACATCAACTTCTGTAGGTATATGATTAGTAGTACTATTCATAATACACGTTGGGCAACAGTCTTTCTAAAGCTCTTTCGAGAGTATTAACCATCAGATCTTAAACTACTTAAGCTACACAATTGGTGGTGTTATCATATTACAGCAATTAGAGAATACGGCGCAATCAACGGATTCACAACCGAAACTTATGAATCTCTGCATAAAAACTAAAAAAAACATATCGAGCAAGCAACAAACGTGAAGCTGCGGCGCAAATGATTCAAACAGTTAGTATATTACTTTTTCATCGTTATTATTTAAACTATCAATTAAAGTTTATTGAATTATTTAGCTTTACCGTAATGCAATTGTAAGATACTTGTCTCAGAAGGAAAATACTGCTAGTCAACGAAACTGACAGACTACAATAGGTGAGTGTTAGGCGAATTTACTTTAGAGACATTTAACGAGTTTTTTAATGCTTACAAGGCGACAAATGTCATCATTTTTTTCCAGCGTTGAATGAATTTTTTGGTCTATGCGAGCAAAGAGTAAACACTATTATGAGCCAGAGTTTAGCAATGTGTCGATTAATATGAGCGAGGAAGACACTCGAAATTATAATACTGATGATGATGATGCATGTTTTGGAAAGGTGTAAAATTCATTACTCTTGTGTTGAATAGCTTTAGACATAATAATATATATTAAATTATTTTTGACCTCGCACTTATACAATGGTTCGATTTTTGCTAATAAAAACTGTTTTTATTTGACAAAAATGCTCTATATTACATAAATATTTATTAATTAATCGTCATCAGTTAAAATTGACCTCGATTCAACACTGCCAATACTACTATTATTTTCTTCTACGTCTCCTACGTCATCCTAAAAAAAATAATTTATTCCAAAAACTATAAGTAGTGTAAAGCAAGCGCGTATGAATTTACCTGTGTAGCGGAGATTTTATGTATCCATGCTTCAACAATATCAGCCTCGATTTTCGACGAGGTATGTTCCTCATCGAAAATCACTTCAAGTACCGCCTGTGTCCAAATGGCGTTAGCTTGGGTCCGTTCCTCTTCAGTAGAAAAAACCGACCTGATTATTAACGTGAGGAACGTGTCGGAAGCCGGATTATCTGGATCACTTGGGGCTTAGATTTCTTCGTGGACTTTCTTTACATCTTTTTGTTGTTTCCAAGCCTTCATTTGATCCTTAGAATAGTTGTCCTTGAATGGCTTGATCCGGTTGATGCCGAATATAGCCCATAGACTATCTTTGACGCGACGGATGATCTAAATTAACGAAATAAAGTTAACACTTATTTACTAGTGTTAACATAAATTTAATAAAACTGAAGAATACAAACAGCAGAATATATTTTTTTCCCATAGTTTGGTGAACGAGATGCCTTTTTCTTTTAACTTCTTCAGTTGTTCGGCTGAATCTTCGTCTCGAAGAAGTTTGTCCTTGATTAGTTTCTTTAGCTGATCGTCCGTTAAGTGTCGATGACCGTGGAATAGCTCATACGAGCATTCCTTAATCGCGTCCTGCAATGAGATTAATTAATAAAATAAGGATATAGGTAGTATTGACAAGTAGTGTCACTAATATAGGCATATTTACTTGGTAAAATTCTTCGGAGGATTTCGTTTTTTCCCTTTACCACCGCCTTTAGTCCACGTCTCCAATTCTTCGCCATTTAATTTACATTGAACTACAATCGGAATTTCTGTGATTTCTCCTTCTACATCTCGATCACCACCACCTCGTCTACATCTTAATTATAAAAACATATATTAATAAATATTTGCGTCGTTGTTATCAAGGTAAAATAAGAACGTTCATATTTTTTATTGAAAATATGGCCACGAAGTGCTTCCTTAATTTTATTCATCTATCCTATTCACCACAAGAACCCGGATAATCCTTTATACCACTTAAGGTTTATGAGGCCCTTTTCAGAGAAGAACGTTCATATACATATATGGCCACGATGTGCTTTCGATTCTCCTAGTGGCAGCGTAACTTCAGATAGATAATAACTCGACAAATATTTAATAAGATTATACTTACGGTACACGTTGACAATTTATTTTTACTTCTTTGAATTTTTCTATTATACATAATCAATGTTAATTAATAAAAAAAAAACAAGTAAAAAATAATAATTTTTACCTTTTGTATACATCGATCGATATGTCATATTTTTTATCGCGTAATTGTTAACTACATATCAATATGTCATATTTTCTATCATATAATTGTTAACGTTAACTATATAACGATAATAATTAAAAAAAAATTATTGTTTTTAATAATAGGGGGTTAAAAATACAGATCTTAATTATACCGATACGAGAAACCCTTACCTACCATTGGTTATTATTATTTTATTGTTATCGTTAAAGATCGACATCAAATACGTACGTACGTACGTAGTTGTTTTAACTGTCACGCAAAGAGACAAATCACATACATGTATCTAATAGATTTCTACTGATTCCACCCATATTAGCGTGGTGTGCGTGACGTATCGGTATGTAAATCCCTAAATTTAGATTTGAAAATCAATTTTGCTATTCGGGGGGGGGGGGGTATGTAACATTTCGTTTCCTATTGTTGATTTGTAGTTTAGGTAAGTGGCTATTTATCTTTGTTAGATGTCTTAACGATGGAAGCAAAGGAACGGCAGATACGTATATCCATAGCACATGATGCAAATGATATGTTCAATATATATTTTTCAATAACCACCTTTTAACGGTTTGTTATAAGAATACGGTTAGCGTAGTAATTAAAGAGAGAAAAGCATGTATGCGTGTTTTTACGCGTCTTTTACATATAAAAATAAATATTAAGTTCGTGGAGAAAAACAAAGGATAGAATAACACGTTTTTTCTCTTCTCTTCCCAGACGTGAGTATATATGTATAATAAACTTGTTCTAAAAATGTTGCATATGTTCGCTGTTTTCGTTATTTTAATAACATGCGAACACAGTCAGTACACATATTATCGTTATCAGTTAATAGCGCAAGAGGTAACCAACAGAAGAACAGATAAAATTTAAATAATACAATAAAATCGTAGCAATATATTTAAAATTCGATGTATTGTATACATGTATAACCTATTCAAAGGTAACACAATAAAGAAACGCGTAAGCTATCGTATTATATTATACGTATTAATATTGAAAAAAATATGTCAACAAAAGAAACAACACAACCTCGAAAATATTTTAGAAAAAGAGCACGTCACCTTAAATAACAAAATAACGTTTCAAATTCTTATTAAAAAAAAACTCCTTAACGAAAAAGAAGTTTCAATAAACGCGGCAGTAATTTTTGACAACCAGATAACAAAAAAAAGACCTTGGAAAAAGACGGCTGCAACAACAATTCGAACAACAATTGCAACAACAACTGCAACAACGGTTGCAATGGCAGCAATTGCTCCAACAACTGGAAAAAGAAAAAACATACAAAGATTACGATTCAGACGCATACGAAATATTACTCCGATTGAATGATAACATTTAATCAAGAAAGAACAAGTAGTAAAACTTGGAACGAATTAAGCGGTTGGGATACCTGGAAATCAAAATCGGTAAAAATAAAGAATACGATTTAATAGCTAGGTACAATATCCTTTTCAGCGAAGAAAAAGAAGGAGAATTCATTGAAAAAATTGAAACAAAATATTTCAAAGAAAACCGCTACGACGGAAGTAATAACTATTTAAAAACAATAAAACATAAAAAAATCGCAGAAAAATTCTGGAAGAAAAAAACCTGGAAAACATTTATATCAACCTCCCTGTAACGCCCGAACAACTGCGAAGAAAAAACCACGTCCTGAATGAGTAGAATAACACTCATTATGAACGTTCTTCTCTGAAAAGGACCTCATAAACCTTAAGTGGTATAAAGGATTATCCGGGTTCTTGTGGTGAATAGGATAGATGAATAAAATTAAGGAAG